CTTCCGATTAAATCTCAGTGCTTTATTAGGGCAGTGTCTTGTTTGCTGTGACTTGAACTTTTTGTTCCCCTTGCATTCTACTCCCTTCCCTAACTGCAGCATCCCCAATATATTTCCTTGAAATCCTGGTCCCTGTTGAGTGTATTTCTCCCCCTTCAATGAGAAAGGAAGACTAAAGGTGGCTGGAGTGGAGGAATGCCCTTCCCTCAATTGAGATAAGACTCTAGGCAAAGAATTTTTCCCTAGAGCATAGGCCTTTGTTGTGGAGAAATCTCTGGGTAGGAGGACTCATCCCCTTCCGGAGAGCCAGGTGGATATCTTTCTTGGATCTTCATTGGGAGAATTCAGTGGAGTTCCTGGAGGTAGAGCTTTGGTGTGGGAGCTGCCCTAAGACTGTGGACCCCAGGAGATTCTCAGACTTAGCTAGTCCATACACAGCCTTCAGCAGTTCATCCAAGTTGCCATGTAAGTATTTCTACCAGTTTTTGACTCTAGGCTTTTCTGTTGCAGATAAATGAATCTCAGCTGTGTTTCTTTAGAAGGCGTTGTCTCTAGATCTCAGTTCTTTTGACGAGTTCAAGAAAAATCGTTGATTTTCTGGTTTGTCCAACCTTTTACTGTTGTAAGAATGGGAGTAATAACTTCTAAGCACTTTACTTACTGAAGCTGAATCTGGAAGCTCTTCACTTATTTTTCAATTAGTGAAACCACTTTGGTCTCTTCTCGAAGGAAATGTAATATTTTTGAGGCCTTTTGGCCTACTATAACTTCTGAGTGGGCTGTTTTTCAACCCTGCTTTGTTCTAATTCATGACCTGTGCCAGAGCAAAGGGTTGCTATTTCAGGGGTATGAGCCATGGGTTTCTGGGGTCTGTGGCTACCAGGTAGCCCAGAGGTAAAGTAGAGCTCTGTTTAAACCATCGGGCCAGAAATACTGGTTCCTAGTGAGATACTAGGTTGTCCTGTACTTCATTGATGAGCTAGCTGAATCTTACCTTTCTTTCCTGAAGTATGATTCTACCAGAAGAGTATTCTCCAATAACTGAGCAATCCAAATGCCATTTGGAATGTCTCAAAGATAAAGTCCTCTCAGAAGTCATTCAACACAATATAGGAGTGATGAGCCCAAAACAGTCATTGCTAAAATGATAGCATATAAAGTTAGAAGGGGCCTCAAAATCATATTGCCCCATATGCCCTCATTTTACAGGTGGCGAACCTGTAAACTCGCAGACATCAAGCCGTTGCCCAAGATGACATAACCACTGAGTTGTGGAGTTGGGATTAGAATCCATACCTTCTCCTGGCTGACAATTAGGCCCAGTCACAAAGTTTCTTCTCATTGACATGCATTTAAAACCTGAGAAAGCCAGGATCCTCTGAGGGCTTTCCTCTGGGAGTTTCCTCTGAAACTACCCCCTGCTGTGCAGATGAGTCAGTGGTCTGCCTCCCAGAATATAGCTCTGCTCTCTGCAGGTCTTGTCTCTAGTCTTCCAGCTATGCTTTTATCATTTAACTTTTCGAAATAATTTTTGTATAACACATGAAGGCACTCCATGTCCATAAAATGCAAAAGCTCCCCACCTCCCACTCTAGAGACAACCTCTAAGATGGATTCAATATGGTTTGTCTCCATCGAGCCATACATTTGGAAATATGTTGTGCTTGTGATTCAGTGACTTGCCTTTTTTCCCCACATAATATGCCTGGGAGATTTTTCTATTTCATAAGTATCAGTCTACTTTCCTTGTACTATTTCCCTATTACTGTTCACTTTCATTATTCCCAGGTTTTTGTTACTTAGAAACAGTGTTGCAGCGAATAACAAACATACATTGGTGTGTACATGTGCAACTGTTTACTTAAGGGTAATCCCCAGATGAGATTCACATGCATTTTTTTTTAATTTGACAGATAGAGTTAGAGAGAGAGACAGAGACAAAGATCTTCCTTCCATTGGTTCATTCCCCAAATGGCCACTACAGCCGGTGCTGTGCTGATCCGAAGCCAGGAGCCAGGCTGGTCTCCCATGTGGGTGTAGGCGCCCAAGCACTTGGGCCATCCTCCACTGCCCTCCCGGGCCACAGCAGAGAGCTGGACTGGAAGAGGAGCAACCGAGACTAGAACTGGTGCCCATATGGGATGCTGGCGCTGCAGGCAGAGCATTAACCAAGTGAGCCATGGCGCCAGCCCCAGAGATTCACATGCTTTTTAAAAAAAACTCATTTTTCTGCCCTGACATAATACTGTTCCCATGAATTTAAGAAGAATCTCCTGACTGGTATTTTGTCTTTTAAAATTTTTTCCCCAATAAAGAATAACTGCTGATTTTTTGTTGCCAACTTTTATTTGGATATTAATAGAGAGAAACCAGCGACTTAGCTCAGAGAGACTAGAGAATTACTGTTCAAGATATTAGACAGGATCGTGCTGTCCAAAGGGTTTCCCAATGCTGTGGTATGTAATGTGCATTTTAAGACAGTGTCTTCCTACCCGGTACATTCCCCATCTTGTCAATCCCATAAATGTGTAAATTTGAGAAGGAAGGAATGAAGAGCAAGTAATGGAGTGGGGGCTCTTTTCTGTACAGGGACAGCCCTCTCAGCCACTGGGAGCCAGGAGGAGCCTACAGATACCAAGTCCGAATCCTCCTGCTGTTTATCCCAACTTTAATAACTCTGGCACTCAGCACCTTCAGTCCATTGGTGGTGAGAGTGTTGGGTCGGGAGCATCCAGATTAGAGGAGATGCTGGGAGTAGGAGGCATTAAAGAGAGAGACACCCAAGCAAATATCTGTAACCCAACGGGGGAGAGCTGTAGCCATACGGAACAAAGAGTCAGAAGGTGATGTTGGAGTCCAGATTCATGCTTGTTTCTAAAGCATTCTCTGTGCTTTTCTGCCATACCCCACCTTGCTGTATTCTCAGGACTCTCAAGCTTCATTTTAGTAGCAGAGACTTATTGGAGTTTTTACAGTTCCTTTACCCATGTCCCTCACCATCCCCTGTATTGCTTAGCTTTCTTAGCAAAGTTAACAATAGAGAGTTTCTTCTTTCTTGTCCTTCCTGTCTCTAAGACGCCTTCAGATTTTAACTTGCTGTGAGTAGGAGATAGAACAGTCTACCCTAAATGAAATGATGCCGGGGGTGATACCCAAAACAACTCAGATACTGACCAATTAGATTGGATGTCAGACATTGCACTGGGACAGTGTCCTGGAGCCTCCTAGTGGTCCAGCTGCTGGGTCATGGAATAGTTCCCAGAGGTTCTGTAGGGCAAAGTGAGGGGGAGGAAACTTCTCAGAGAAGAGTGGTTATCTAGCTACAGCAACAGGGGTATTTCAGTATGTAACAACTAGTATGGTATATAGTTGTGTACCAACAGCATAGTTATCTCCAGAGTCAGGGCTAGCATTGTGGCTTAGTGGGTAAAGCCACTGCCTGTAATGCTGACATCCCATCTGTGTACTGGTTCGAGTCCCAGCTGCTTGGCTTCCTATACAGCTCCCTGCTAATGTGCCTGGGAAATCAGTGGATAGCAGTGGAGAATGGCCCAAGAGCTTGGGCCCCTGTACTCATGTGGGAGACCCAGAAGAAGCTCCTGGCTCCTGGATTAGGTCTAGCTCAGCTCTAGCCATCGCAGCCATTTGGGGAGTGAACTACTAGATAAAAGATCTTTCTCTCCCTCTCTGTGTAACTTTGCCTGTCAAATAAATATATATATTTTTAAAGTGTCCCAGGAGTCAACTAAGAAAGTACTTAAAATGGGCCGGTGCCACGGCTCACTAGGCTAATCCTCCGCCTGAGGTGCCGGCACACCGGGTTCTAGTCCTGGTTGGGGCGCTGATTCTGTCCCGGTTGCTCCTCTTCCAGTCCAGCTCTCTGCTGTGGCCCGGGAAGGCAGTGGAGGATGGCCCAGGTCCTTGGGCCCTGCACCCACGTGGGAAACCAGGAGGAAGCACTGGCTCCTGGCTTCAGATTGTGGCTCCTGGCTTCAGATTGGTGCAGCGCGCTGGCCGCAACGCGCTGGCTGTAGTGGCCACTTTGGGGGGTGAACCAATGGAAAAAGAAAGACCTTTCTCTTTGTCTCTCTCTCTCTCTCACTGTCTAACTTTGCCTGTCAAAAAATAATAATAATAATAAAAAGATAGTACTTAAAATGTAAGTGGTCCAATGATATTATCTAGAGCTTATATGGGAGGGGCTACTCCACCAACATTTGGTTTTTAGTTACTAGATTTGGGTGAGAAGCAAAATAGAAGCAAAATGGAGGCACACATTGCCAGAGAGAAAGTTTCTACAACTGTTGATTAATTATTAGGACATCACCTGTAATGTATTCCCAGACACGTAGGTAAAATTGAATGTGAAAGAGTTGATGACTTAATGAAAGATCTAGAATGGATGAAGCCACATAAGAAGGGAGGTGGGTAGTACATATATGGAAGCAAGCTGTGGCATATAATAGGCTCTTAGTATTTGCTGCTGAAAGAAGGTAAAGTTTAAATGCCCATAGGATGAATAGCTGCTGATGTGTGCAAGGCACAGTGTTGAATTTTATTATAGATGTGGCTCTAGCCTTGGAAAAGTACATCTACCTGTAAAACTGAAATTCATTCTTGGAAGTGACTGATAACTCTGCCCCATTTCTTTAAGTGCTTATTTATTTCTTTAAGCTGTTGGCAATAAGTGAACCCTCCTTGTGCAGCTGAGATATTTCTAGAGCAATACATCCAGGTCTGTACCTGAGATTTCTTTCTGTACTCTTTCTGCTTGTGGTTTTGTCAGTGTTTAACTAGTGTACTTAATCAGTTACTGTTCAGCCCCCAGGTAAATTTCTAGTGGTATATTGGTAAGGGGTTGAAATACACATCATTCTCAAAGCAGAATTGCTTTTCCTGTATTTTAATGATATTTCTAGTTTTAAGTATCACGTGATTTTTTTTAGGAAAAAAAATTAGGAAGTGGTTTCTAAGATGGAAAATAGGTTAAATGCATTCATTTATATGCCTCCTCATTCAAGCAATGTGTTTCTAAGGACTCATTGTTAAGTATTTAGACAAGTGTGAAATAGTCTAAGAAGATAAGTCTTATTATGTAATGTTAGTGAATTCTGTAGTGGCCTTCAGATACTATAGGCAAAATCCTATTTAATAAAGAATTAATTTGAAGGAGGCTTATGAGGTTGGACATCTTATCCTTTTGAATCTAAAAGTTTAATCCTGTAAGACAGCCACCCTTGGGCCACAAATGCCTTTTGCTTTTTACAGTATTGTAATTCATTGCCACTAAATAGTATCAGTTGCACTTCTGCTTATTACTGTTACATTAGCATATCAGGAGAATGAGATATTATAAGTACGATGGACTGAAAGCATACAGGTTTTTTGTGCAGGGTCTCTCATTTCATTAGGTTTTGTTGTGCAAACATTTCGGGATGTATGAATTCTTAAGAGTTGAGGGTAATAACATCCAAGAGCCCTATATTTAGGGTCCGTTTGTTGGAGTGCACTGAGACTGGGTTAATGTTTAACAGCGGCTGTCCTGTTGATTCACTTAGGGAGTTGGTAGATAGCAGTTTTATTCTCCTTATTGCACTATTAATTAAGACCTGCTGAAAAATAGCCCTAGGAATGCAGCTGGGGAAAGGAACACCTTTAAAGCAATGGGAACGGAGCAGTAGATTTATTGTTAGGATTGCAATAGCTGCCCTTCAGCCGGGTTGGATTAATGAGTATCAGAGTTGATGCAGCTTTCTGGGCAAAATACTTCTAGTAAAGAAAAAGCTCATTTTCTTGATTGTAGTCTGGGTTTTCCAAGTGACTAGAGGCTACTGAAGATCTGACCTCGTATGGTAAGTTCGTATGTGGTTTAGTTTTTCAGTTTTCTTTCGTTGTGATATGCACATAGAGCAGAAGACATACAACTTGGGTCCACTTTAAAGAATCATTATAAAGTGAACCCTCGGGTAACCTCCGCCCAGATCAACACAGAGGACCAGCCTTCCTGAAGCCCTGCTCTCTCCAGCTACCCCTCCCAGAAGGGACACTTTCTGCCCTCTCCCCTGGGCAGCTCCTGTCTTTTGTCTGATTCTTCCCTCTCTTTGTAATGTAATCACTTATATTTGTGTCCTGAAATATTGTTGGGGTTTGCCTGGTTTTGAACTTGTAGGAATGGAGTAGTAAGGTTATGTGCCTTTTTTCCAATTGCTGTCTTTCACTCAGCATTGTGTTGGAGATTTTTTTTAATCCAGGTTATTGCTACCCAGTGTGTGTGTGTGTGTGTGTGTGTGTGTGTGTGTTTAAAGCCTTGTCTGTATTTGCCCCCTCCCTGTTTTTACTTGATATCTGTAACTCTAAACGCTTTCAGATCTTTCTGCTTCATCTTGCGGGACTTCCTGCTTGTTGAGGTCGAAGACTAAAGCTTGTCTGGACTTCAGTTTTCCGAGCTCACCTGACTGCCACCTCCCCACCCCCCACCCCACCCCCGGGTCGAGGGCATTGGTTTAGGTGAGACTACATCTTTAAGGCTTCTGTGCTCCTTAAAAATCTTCCTTTCTCTAAGGCTGGTCCAAGGGTCTGGTCACGTGATGCCGACAGTGACATCACACTCTGACCGCCGGGAGCCCGGGTGGTTCTTTAGGTGGCGTTTGTTGCTGTGAAAGGCAGAGAACGCAGCAAGTGCCCTTCTAAAGCACTTCAGCGCGGGGGTTCCTCCTGCAAAAAGCTCCTCCGCCTAAATGAGCAAATGCGGGCTGCCAAGGTTATTTCTTCCTTGAGGCAGAAAAAAAGAAAGGTAAGCAGACCTGAGGCCGAGCAAGGAAGCATGCCTCCCGCCCCTAGCCCGGGAACAGGGGTTCTGGAGAGTTGCAAGCAGTCTGTAGGAGGATCCTAATCACTGCCTACCCTTTGCCAGTGGCTTGACGGATGTGCTGCTAACCGAGACCCACTACAAAGGAGGAGGATGTGGTGCTCATGTTACCTAGTGATGTAATAGGCTTCTTTCTTTCCTGCTCAGAAGCTGTCGCAGCTCTTCATTTCGCCTTGAATAGCCTTAAAACGGGGGGGCCTCACTTGATAGATAGGGTGGCATTGGCGAGATCTCAGACGCTTTTTTAAAATCACTTTCCCAAAATCTTTTCCTGCCCCACCCCCTCCTGAAAGGCGAACTCTTAAACCCGAGCAAATTCAACTGAAGCATTAACCTTCCCTAAAAAGTAAATCTCTGGCCATTTGGTGTCCTGTGTTCATGTCAGCTTTTGACTTGAGAATTGAGACAGCTTGGTTTCCCGCTCCCCCCACCCCACCGTCTCCCTCTCACACATACACATATTTTATTCTATTCCTACCCTTATTTTCTAGCTGGCTTTTTTTCCCCTCCAAGCTCCCAGACAACACACCAGCTTTCATCTTTCTCAGTATGACACTGACATGATAGGGAAGGCTGGGCTGGTGATTCAGCAGCCATCCATTTTACAGCCAGGCATCAGTGAAGATAGGGAAGGGACTTTGGTTTGGGGTTTTAAGATTAACTTGCTCACTTACTACACTCCGCCTCTCCACCCTACCCCTACCCACCAGATGATTTAGACTTTGCTGAGCTTTTCCTTTCAAATGTGTACATTGTTTATAAACGGAATGCAGGAGAACTTACTGTTGGTAAACCAGGTGCTGTACCATTTGGGGTTTTCATTCACATTGACCCCATGAGAGTACTCAAGTTTACAGGAAAGATGGAGATGCAGATAGGGGGGAAATGGAGTCAGGTCAGGCCCATTTGGGACTTTTCTACAGAGAGATTCATTACCAGACCACATGGATGAAGCCTTGTTCCTGCCAAGGTTGGTGCTGCAAATGTGAGCTTTGGCCAGGTAAATTGAATGATGATTATTCTGCATTTTCCCTCCAGTGTGCAAATGTATTAATGCCTCAATACTATTGTACATTTTGTGTTTAATAGCATGGTATTCCATCCGACAATATTGCAGAAACACTTTGAGCAGGTGTGTAAGCCGTGCTTAACCTTGTGGGAGTCCAAGTGCAGAGTTTAAATACTTGCCTTGCCATTTATCAAATAAATTTTGGTTGAGCTGATATTTGGTGAGTCTTAGAAATGTGCCAGACACTGTGGACAAGGCAATGATGAATCAGATACAGGGATACCAACCAGAGAGTTTTTAGTCTAGAAAGGAAGATAAAGCACATGCCTAAGTAACTGTAGTGGAAGTGTTAAAAAGCCAAGCCCTGATAAGGGACCCTTATGGCTAGGCACATGGGCATGTTTCTTCCAGTTCAAGGATCAGGGAGAGACATTTCACCACTAAGCCATGCACTGTTGTTTAAATCTCTACTGGTAAGTCTTAGGCTCTTCTGACACACTTGGAAAGAGTTTCTCCAAGCCCTTTACATCAGGGATCAAAGTCTTACAGTTATTGAAGGGAAATTTGTACCTTCCAGCCAGCTTAACCCTTGAAGATGCCGACATGCTTTCTTTGGAGTCCTTTCAGGGAAAAGCTACCTCCTAGGATTGAATTACTGCCTTATAAATATAAAATGGTTCTTGATGTGATATATCTGTAAAGACCTTGGACCATTTTTTCTACCTTCCATAAACTGAAATACCCTAGCTGTTCCAGGCTTCTTCCTGGCTTTTGTTCCATAAATCCTTTCTGATTGCACATCAGCTTCTGTCATTTCTCTTGTACTGTCGTTCTCATCTGTCCTTCTCAATTCAAACTGCCTTTAGCCACTCCTCATTTTGCACCTAGACCGCAAAAAAACTAAATGCAATGGATGCTCACACTGGGTGATTGTATTTCTTATCAGTACACCCTGAGTGGGTCACCTAATAGTTTAAGAACTTACCTACTGAAGTTCAGAAGGGAGATATTAAAGATGTTCAGTGTGTCTGGAGTACTAATGTCTATTTCCTGTTCACTACAGAGGACAAATCCTACAATGGTGGAGGAATAGGTTCTTCAAATAGAATCATGGACTTCTTGGAGGAGCCAATCCCTGGTGTAGGGACCTATGATGATTTCAATACAATTGACTGGGTGAGAGAGAAGTCTCGAGACCGGGACAGGCACCGAGAGGTAAGACAAAGGATAGTACATGAGTAAGCGCTAGGAAATACCAGCGGAAGAAGTTGAAGACACATATTCTTTCTTTCTTTTCTCCAGCCCTGGATGTGGCTGAATATGGTTTTATTGGAAATATAAACTTTTTATTTATATTTTTAGAGGCATCCCACATATGATTTTTATCCTAATTTTTTTGAAAAATTATCTGATGACTTACTTCCTATAGTAAATGGCTGAAAAGGATCCTTACAACCCTTAAATGAGTAGAAATGCCTATGCAGAGATGAAAACAAATGGAAAAAAAACAAACTTAGGATGGCAAAAATAAATATCAAAAATCTTCCCCTATCATATCTGCCTTTTATGATTTTTATCTTGAATATGGATTTTTAACTAAGAAAAGTAAATGAACTCCTTTTAAATGAATGAAACAAAAAAGTCTCAGGGCCCCAGTGTTTACTAAAGTATACAGGACAGACTCCCTGTGATTATAGCTCTCATACAACCACAAAAACAAAATAAACTCATGTATTCAGTTCTGACAAGACCAATCAAATTAAAATTAAAGACATGAATTTAATGTGATAGGTAATATATGGTATTTAGGGCTATGGCACAGGGTCTTTTGAATTTTTCAAGAGAATTTCCCAACTTCTCAGAGCAGTCTGCCAAGGACATTTGCCTTTAATGTGTTGCATTGCAGCATTTAAGATGGGGAATCCCAGGGGCAGGCATTTAGCTTAGCACTTAAGCCACCAGTTAGGACACCCGAGTACCTAGGTTCAGTTCCTGGCTCTGACTCTTGATCCAGCTTCTGGTTAATGCAGACCCTGAGAGGCAGCAAGTGATGGCTGAAGTAGTTGGGTTCCTGCCCACCATGTGGTCTCCATGTGGAATACCAGAATGAGTTCCAGGCTCCTGGCTTTGGCCCAGGCATTGTTAGGACTTAGGGAATGAACCAACAGATGTATCTCTTTATCTGTCTCTCTGTCTCTCTCTCTCTCTTCCCCTCTCTGTCTCTCAAACATTTTTTTAAAAAAAATACTAACTCAGGGAGTCACAATTTCTTGTTTGTTTAAGGACTGCATGGAAAGCTTATTAAAAACTGAGTGCTCGCCGGCGCCACAGCTCACTAGGCTAATCCTCCGCCTCGCAGCGCCAGCACACCGGGTTCTAGTCTGTGCTGGATTCTGTCCCGGTTGCCCCTCTTCCAGGCCAGCTCTCTGCTGTGGCCAGGGAGTGCAGTGGAGGATGGCCCAAGTGCTTGGGCCCTGCACCCCATGGGAGACCAGGAGAAGCACCTGGCTCCTGGCTCCTGCCATCGGATCAGCACGGTGCGCCAGCTGCAGCGTGCCGGCCGCAGCGGCCACTGGAGGGTGAACCAACGGCAAAGGAAGACCTTTCTCTCTCTCTCTCTAACTGTCCACTCTGCCTGTCAAAACAACAACAACAAAAAACCAAACTGAGTGCATGCCCTAGCCCCAGAGATTCTTTCTTTGATTATTTCTACTTGGAGTCCAAATTTAAAATGTAATTTTTAAAATCAACTCTTTTAAAAAAAGATTTATTTTCTTGAAAGGCAGATTAACAGAAGGAATGAGAGAGAGAGAGAGAGGAGAAAGAGAGAGACAGAGAAATCTTCCATTCGCTGGTTCACTCCTCAGATGGCCACAATGGTTTGGGCTGGGCCAGGAATCCGGAACTCCATCTGGATCTCTTCACATGGAAGCACTTGGGCTTAAAATTTGATTTTTAAGCTGACCTCATTCTCCCCTATGGCTTCCTTTTCTCAGAGCCAAGAAAATCTCAGAGCAGTCAGGTGGAGAGTGCTTTTCATTCTTAAGCCTTTCTCAGCTGCTGACTGGTTTCCTCATGACCACCTGAACTCAACAGTCAGGTTGTCCCAAGTACAGGTTTTGAGGAATCCCCTCTTAGTTGTTGAACTTGTGATAACTCCACAGAATTTACTTATCACAACTTAAAAAGGTGATTTCTATAAAACATTCTATGTTTTTTCTAAGATTTTTGCCATTAGGGAACATTTACACATAATCTTTCTGTTATATTGATACATTGGGCAGGCTATGGAATTTAGAATCTTACTGGCTTTCTTCTTTTTTCCTTTTTTTGGCTGTAGAATTACTTTTTTATTGTTTAAGATTTAATTATTTGAGATAGCATTAGAGAGAGAGAGAGAGAGGGAGGGAGAGGGAGGGAGGGAGGGAGAGAGGGAGAGAGATATCCTCTATCCACTGGTTCACTCTCCAAATGGGTGCAACAGCAGAGCTGGGCCAACCCAAAGCCAGAAGCCAGGAGCCTCTTCTGGGTCTCCCACACGGGTGCAGGGGTCCAAGGACTTGGGCCATCTTCTGCTGCTTTCCCAGGGCATAACAGAGAGCTGGATTAGAAGAGGAGCAGTCAGGACTAGAACCGGTACCCATATGGGATGTTGGTGCCACGGGCAGAGGCTTAGCCCACTACGCCACAGTGCCAGTGCCTTGGCTTTAGCATTTCTATTTGTAATTTAGAGTTCAGTTTGTCATCAGGTGCATATTGAACATGCTATTTAAATTGTGAAAGTCACCTGTGATAAGAGAAGGGCACAGTGCCCATTAGGTTGCATCTGAAACAAATGATGCCAATTAATAATAATTCAAAACCAATTAAAGTGTATTTATCAAATGTTCCAAGGAGACTTTTTGAGCAATAACTGTTCATTATCAGAAAAGAAATGATTCACAGGAGAAATTATAACCCGATTCATTTTCAGCACTGAAATTGGAGACTTAAGTTCCACAGGTCAAATTTTTTTAAAAAGATCTATTTATTTATTTGAAAGGCAGAGTTACAGAGAGAGAGGGAGAGACAGGGAGAAAGAGAGAGATCCTCCATCTACTCATTAACTCCCCACAGTGGCTGCAACGGCTGGAGCTGGACCGGTCCAAAGCCAGGAGCCAGGAGTCTCCCACGTGGGTTCTGGCACCCACGGACTTGACACATCCTCCGTTGCTTTCTCAGGCACATTAGTATGGAGCTGGATCCAAAGTGGAGCAGCCAGGACTTGAACTGGTGCCCATATGGGATGCCGGCATCACAGGTGGTGGCTTCACCCACTATGCCACAACGCTGGACCCCACTGGTCAAAATTTTAAAGTGACTTGAAATTTTTACAATGACATTATTATTTGTGATGCTGCTGTACCTGAAAGTGAGATAGCCAAGTCACTGTTTCAGGGCGAAGAAATAGAGGCACAGAGAAGTGGGAAGCACTACTGATGAAGTTGTCAGAGGATTGGTCTGAAAAAATATGGGCAATGAGGGGTTTAATTGACTAGGCTAGGACCTGAAAGGTAAAACTTTGTGTACTTCCTTAGATAACCTCAGCTGTTAGCAGCAGGTTTTTGAAAATGAAAGAGATGCCTCACTGGATTTCATTAGTATTTGTGATTAATGTACAATTAGTTGTTTGTAGGATCACATTTGCCTGACCTGAACTATAGCCCAAGGTAATAAACCTCAAATTGCACAATTGCACTTTCATCATTCAAATAAGCCCCACTTTGCATATTGTTTGGAAAGAATTAAACTACTTGCTGTGAGTCAAGAGACCATCCTTGGACTATCTGATATGCAGGACAGAAAGGGACCCCTGTAGTAAGCAACAGGTTGATGCTGGAAGAAATGAGCAGCTGAAAGGGGAAGCCCTGACTCACCTGTTTGTAGGCCTTACAAGACTATACATGAAGGTGGGGTTTAGTAAGCCTCTGAGTTCTTGGAGAAACTGGGTTCTCTAAAGATTGGATGAGAAGTTAAGTTTTAATTGGTCTCTATTCCCAGGTAATTTGTCTTTGTATTCCTTCACTGGGCTGTTTTGAGGTGACAAAAGGAAGGCTGTATGTAGAATGTATCAATATTGTCTCATTTTCCCCTAGATAACCAATAAAAGCAAAGAGTCAACGTGGGCCTTAATTCACAGTGTCAGCGATGCCTTTTCTGGTTGGTTGTTGATGCTCCTTATTGGGCTTTTTTCAGGTATGGTAAACCACGTGAGTTTTCAAAGCCAGATCTCCTAACATGGTAATATGCTTTTCTCCCAAGTCATAAACTTGAGTCCCGTGCTGTGTTTTCCTAGTTTGCTACATGAAATGAATTGCTACAGAATCTTTCAGAAGTTCAATGTCCCCATCTGTAAAGGAGTACTTTGAATACCTGCAGCACCTACCTTTAGCCAGTGGGGAAATGCATCTCAGTGTATTTTGTATGCTGCATGATACAGTATCCATTTGAAGGATACTCATTTGAGTGCTTATCTTGAAGAAGACCCCCTCCATGGGAAATGTTTTTTTTTTTTTAAACACTTCCTGCATGAGGCTTAGGAAAGATGTGGAAGACTTCCTGAAACATTTTGTAGATGCTTCTTAAACATCTGCTCTCTCATTTGATGGTAAAGGCATGTAAGAAACTCATGCTCTCAAGGAGCTTACAGTCTCATTCCTCCATGCTAGCTGAGGGGTGGGGTAGTACCGCCTCTTCCTGCAAACTGCACCTATGTTCCCTTTCACTGCAAATAATGCAGGATGAGCATCCCGCATCTGAAATACTTAGGACCAGAAGTGCTTTGGATTTTGGATTGTTTGGATTTTGAAATATTTCTGAATACATAAGGAGATATCTTAAGAGATGGAACCCAAAGCTAAGCATGAAATTCATTTGTATATATCATATGTACTTTATACACATAGCCCACAGGTAATTTCATACAATGCTTTAGTGCACCTGTGTTTTGACTGAAACCTATCTCTTGAGGTCAGGTGTGGAATTTTCCACTTGTGGCATCATGCTGGCACTCAAAAAATTTCAGATTTTGGATTTTTGGATTAAAGAGACCTAACTTGTATATGTGCAGTCCAAGAATAGTATTTTTCTGTATAAATACAGCTTTTAAAGCAAGTTCCTAAGCAGGCTTCAAGCAGAGTCAGATACCAAGCAGAGATTGCCAAGAGATGTTTCCTTATGACATTAAAAGATGGGGCCTGGGGAGATCTGGAATCTTGAGTTGAAACAGAAGTAGGTGGAAAATGAGGTGAATGATACAAAATGGCAGTTAGGCACACAGGTTCTACTTCCAGGCTGCTGGAAGTTGGATCCCAGTCCTACCACTTGCTAGTTCCATGGCTTTTGACAAGTGTCTTAACCCCTGGAAGCTTTTGTTTACTGAATGAAGATAATGAAAGTACCTACATGAAAAGTTTGGTACATTCTACATGCTGCTGTTGGTGCTGCTACTTAAAAATAATAATTCATGAGCCATGGAGTAGAGAGCAAATGAGAAACAGCTCATCTGTAGCTCAGTTTTCAAAAGTTGCCTAGGCCAGGGGTTGGCAGACTTTCTGTGTAAAGGAGCCAGATAGTAAATATTTTAAGATTCGTGAGCCAAATGGTCTCTGCATGAAAGTAGCCACAGACCATAGGTAAACAAATGCTCCTCCTGTGCCTGGGAAAGGAGGTAGGCAGGATTTGACCTTCTGGCCACGTTTGCCAGCCCATGGCCTTGGGTGTTAACTCTGCCCCTTCCGGCTCTTCCAGAAGACAGATCGTGATCTGGCCCATTTGGAGCTGGCTACTAATTGACTAGGCGATCTGTGAGAGGCTGAGGAGGAGGAAGATGTCTGAGACAAGGTTATACAGTATAGCATATCAGTGACCTTGAAAAAGCATGTCAAATAAATATTGCAAGCCACGTTTCAAGGGAGGACAAGCAGTGTGGAAGTTGAGGGTAGTCATTTGGAAGTGAGGAGGGGCACATGCTTGAAATGGCCACAAGGACAAGGGACAGCATTTTACTTCTTAGGGGAGTGGGAACCCAATAACATTTATAACCAGAGAAGAAAGATCCAGCTGGGAGAAGGAGAAGGGGAGATAGAAGTAGAAGAGATGACAGGCTTGAGGGTAGCAGTGTTAGGTAAAATAAGACATGCACACATGTAACAACCAGAGAATAAGCCAGACTATATATAACATCATGTTGATTTTTCTGAATCCAGGCAGTTAGTGCAAGAAGAGTAACAGGGAAGAGAAGGCTGAGGGCTGGAGCACTCAAAAATAGGTGTCAAAAGTGTGTTAGGTTTGACTAGGTTATTCAAGTATGTAAACAACCTAAGCCAACACCATTAGCCCCTACAAAAACATATGCATGACATGGCCTCCCGCCTGGTGGAATGCAGGCGTAATATCCTCAACTTTTTAATGTATTTCTTGTCACTAGGTGGTCAGTGAATATTTTTCTTTCCTCATACACACAGGGTATTTTGTTTTTAAGCATCGGGAAGCAACAATAGAGGCAGTGTGCCTTAATGCAGAAGCAGTCTGGGAATTCAGAGGCTGTGAATTTTATGATGTCTTTACTATTTCCCTAAAGCAAGATTCTGGGCCATTTAATTTCTTGATGCCAGAGTTTCTTCATCTGGATGACAGTCATGATGAGAAGGCCAGAATCTAAAGCACTATAGCTATCTTAACACTGGAAGTCTTCATCCCCAACTCACTATTCATTGCCTCATCATTTTCCATGGTGAATGTTGTATATATCATACTGTTTGCTCCATCTCACTAAGAAAACTTCAGAAGGTTCATGTCCTAGGCTCAGGAGGCTTCTACGTGTCTACAGCTTCATCTAGCCGCCTGTGCACACCATAGTTTGTGCTTTTATAAATTGGATTCCCTTAGCCTAGAATGCTTTCCTACCATGGCTCAATTTTTTTTTTCCCCATGGAACAAAATCCTGCTATCAGGGCTCAGTCTTTCTCACCACAGTCATCAGCTGTCCTCTGCAAGCCATCTGAAGTAAATACCATGAATATTCCTCAGTATAGGCAATTTCTTTTTCTCAGTTTTGCACATGTAGGGAAAGTAAAGTAGTCTTTGATCAATTTTACTTTGTTTATGGATGTGTATTCTTCCATTCCAAGTCAAAACAGTGTCTTCATCATGCAAATTCAGCCTGAAGACAAACCTAGTAGTCTCTTGCTCCCACCCAGCCATTTTGCTTTCCCCTTCATTCCTCCTAGATAGAAATGCCAGATGTCAGTATTTAATACAGAGATTATAAGTGGAAACCAAGCAACCAGTCAGAAAGAAGTTGAGATGAAATGAGAAAGTATGAGGGCCCTTCAAAAAGTTCATGGAAAATGAAATTAAAGGAAAAGTTTATTTTGGTCCAAAACTTTTTGAGATCCATGCATTGTTGGTTCATAATGCATATTTCTCATGAGATTTTTGAAGGTTTCCTCATATGCATGGATTTCAGAATTTTCTGCACCAAAGTAAATGTATCATTTAATTCAATTTTCTGTGTACTTTTTGAAGTACCCTCATATATGCTTGTTTGGTTCCTAAACTTTGGCATGACAAAGTTTATTCTGATTACCAAAGAACAGACTTTCAGAAATGCACCTGACTTTTGGCCTTCCCTCCCTCCAAACCAGGTTCCTTAGCTGGTTTGATAGACATCTCTGCTCATTGGATGACAGATTTGAAAGAAGGCATATGCACAGGGGGATTCTGGTTTAACCATGAACATTGTTGCTGGAACTCTGAGAATGTCACCTTTGAAGACACAGACAAATGCCCAGAGTGGAATAGCTGGTCCCAGCTTATCATCAACACCGATGAGGTAACATGTAGCAGTAATTTCAGAACTGTTGCATTTTATTCTTCACATTTCTTTCATTTCTTATACTATAAGACAGCACGTGTGGAATCTTCTCCTGTTTTCCTGTTCACAAAAAGGGGAACCAGTGCCAGCTGCCTTCCTCTGTGGTTTAAGTACAACCCTATTTCCATCTCTTCTTTTTTTTTTTTTTTTTTTTTGACAGGCAGAGTGGACAGTGAGAGAGAGAGACAGAGAGAAAGGTCTTCCTTTTGCCGTTGGTTCACCCTCCAATGGCCGCCGCGGCCGGCGCGCTGCGGCCGGCGCACCGCGCTGATCCGATGGCAGGAGCCAGGAGCCAGGTGCTTTTCCTGGTCTCCCATGGGGTGCAGGGCCCAAGCACCTGGGCCATCCTCCACTGCACTCCCTGGCCACAGCAGAGGGCTGGCCTGGAAGAGGGGCAACCGGGACAGAATCCGGCGCCCCGACCGGGACTAGAACCCGGTGTGCCGGCGCCGCTAGGCGGAGGATTAGCCTAGTGAGCCGCGGCGCCGGCCCTCCATCTCTTCTGACATGTGGAGTGGCTTGGTGATTATATTTAGAATTGTTGTTTGTTTTAAATAAGTCTGGTTTTTCTCCTTGGTACATGGTGTGACTGAATTTATCTTTCCCTAATGATTTCAATGGAGATGTCAATGGGTAAGCTATAATTTCTAACAAAGAATGGAGTGGGTAAAAAATGTGTTTATTGTATAGACACCAGAAATGATTTGTCCTTGAACGTTATATTTGAACCTTCAAGAATTATGATTCATTGCACATCAAAACAACTGAAACCCAGGAATTAGTCCCATCTTGTGATCAAATCACTATTTTCATTTGTGTCTTTTAAGTATATGTTTGTGTTTTTTATTTGATGCCGAAGTTAACTTTTTCAGTGTCTTACCTGTCATCCCTTCACTATATTTTAGATCCCTCCCACTGAAACAAAAGCCCACAAGACAACTCTCAACACCCAATTCTACTCTGACTTCTGTAAGGCTACCAGAAAACACACCAGACACCAGAGTTAAAGGAAAGATTTATTGTCAGATGGAGGGAAACCCAAAAGGCTGGAAGGAGAGGGAGGGAGAGGGTGAGAGAGGGCAGAAAGGGAAAGGGGTTGAGAGAGAGAGAAGTCAAGAGAGAGAGAGCACGTGTGTGGAGAAGCAGGTCGTGTTATACTCTTGCAGAGGGTAGGGAAGTGGGAATAACAAATTCCATTAGGGTGAGGGTGGAGCTGATGCTTGTGGTTGGGCCGTTTGGTCACCTGACATTTAGTGAGCCAGGCTGGGCTTAGGAATGAAGCTTACTGTGCAAGATGGCGACAGGGGCCAGAGCCTGAGATGATACCCTGGGGCTTAAGATGGCGCCACAAATAAGATGGCACCATTTTACTAACAACTTCCACCAGTTAAAACAAGTGCCATATTAGCTTACTGTCTGTCCACTCTGTTGGTGAAGTGCGAAAGACAAGACTAGGATATGTGTTTGTTCTTTTTTTTTTCTTTTTCTTTTTTGACAGGCAGAGTGGACAGTGAAAGAGAGAAAGACAGAGAGAAAGGTCTTCCTTTACCGTTGATTTACCCTCCAATGGCCGCTGTGGCCGGCGCATTGCACTGATCTGAAGCCAAGAGCCAGGTGCTTCTCCTGGTCTCCCATGCGGGTGCAGGGCCCAAGGATTTGGGCCATCCTCCACTGCACTCCCTGGCCACAGCAGAGAGCTGGCCTGGAAGAGGGGCAACCAGGACAGAATCTGGCGCCCCAACTGGGACAAGAACCCGGGGTGCCGGTGCTGCAGGCGGAGGATTAGCCTAGTGAGCTATGGCGCTGGCAGTGTTTGTGTTCTTAAAATGTACTATTATTCACCTCGGTCCACAGTTTGGGGTAGCATGTAAACACACACACACACACACACACACACACACACTGTCAATGGAAAAGGATAGGAAAACCATAGAATTAGAAGTGTTTATATACATATATGACTGCATATTGGCTTATTGAAAGGGTTCAATGAAAGGGATAGACTATGTTATATATCTGAGATGGTTCAGGTCTGTGCTTTTCAAGACTTGGGTGTGGTTAGCATGCCAGAGGGTAGGTGAAACCATAAGACAAACATTCCATGCCTGCCCAGAGCATCAGTTTTTCTGAATATTTGGAGGACTCCTTATTTTGAGAAATTAAATATAAATAATTATTAAAAATGGACTATAAAATTTCCATGCTTTTTCAGAAAACAATGAGATCTCTGCTTTGTCTCTGCACCCATATATCCTACCCCATATGCTGATGTCTCTTTACCTTCCTGGATTGGGAAGACTTGGGTAGAAAAGTTTGGAAAGCCCTAGAACTTAGGGTGAGTGTGTGTGTGTGTGTGTGTGTGTATGCACACTCACATGCTTCTCTCTTGCTTTTGGGGAATTTTTGTTTTTAAAGCAATTGCAGATTCATAGGAAGTTGCAAAACAATGTACAAGGAGATCCCTGGTACCCATCACTCAGCTTCCTTCAATAGTGACATCTTAGTATATAGTACAATAGCAAAACCCAGGAGATTGACATAGGCACGATCCATAGGCCTTAGTTTAAGACACAGTGGGGTGTGTGTGTGTGTGTGTGTGTCTGTGTGTGTGAGAGAGGGAGTGTGATGCTCTACAGTTTCATCTCAAGTGTAAATTGTGTAACCCCCAGCACAAACGTTAGAACTATTCTGTTGCCATAAGCACCCCCCCCTCGCCTCCTGTTGCTTACCCTTTGTAGCTTTAGCTGTGTGCCTGTCAGAGTCCCAGCAGTCACTTTCAAACTGAAGCTTAAGATTTGCAGGAAGGACAGATTTCTTTGGCTCTATTTTATGAATGGAATCCTTGCCTGGGCAAAGCGTCTTCCAGGTCTTAAGAAGCCTTTTCCTGCCAAGAATTTGGCCTCCTGGTCTCTGACTCTAGCCAGTTCCAGTTACTTTTCCTTTTACTCCCTTTCCCTCTTTGTTTCCTCCCTCTGGAACTTTCCTCCCTTGCTGCATTTGAAAGGCAAAGCCATAGCAATTATCTCTTTTTCTGAGGGAGCAAGATAGTGGAAAAACCTGTATCAAATTTCAGACTCAGAAATATCCTGAACATCCTCTTTCCCCTTATCTAGGTCAATGAATCATTTTCATAGTGTTTTATGTTTTTGGAAACTCAAAATCCCATCAAATGTTGTATCTCATATAATTTGAGTGAGTTTTAACTCAATATTTTTAATAGCAAGTGTAACCTCCTAACGTTCAAAATTGCTTTTTTTTTTGGTAAGGCATGACTTTTTGCAAACTCTTTAAATGTTGGTGAATCCTTAGTAGTGGTCAGAACTCTATTTCTTGAGTGACATACTTCGTTAGCACAAGAGAATAGTCTCAAAAGGATTCTACCTGCATTTTAGAAATAGCTATTCCCATTTGATTCTTTGGAATATCTGACATCATCAGAACCTGAAACTTTCTACTTGTATACTTGTTGCTAAGACTGTGGTAGTGAAATTCTTGCCAAGATGTAAGCATTATATGTGAAATCCAAAAAAAAAGATGGATACATAGAAAGAGAATAAATAGATGGACAATTACTAGGGCATGGGGGTGGGAGCGTGGAGAGGAGGAAATGGGTAAAAAAGTAGGATACAAATTTGCAGTTAGGTAGGATGATTAAATCTAGGGCTGCAGCATGTTCACAATATCATACATATCCTGAAAGTTTACTAAGAGATTTTAAGTGTCCTTATCATACACGAAGAAAGGTAACTGTGAGCTCTTAGTTCTACCCTGAGGTGCCTGCCTAATCTGTCAGATGTATTTCTCTTCATTAAACCTGGCTAACATGTTTACTTGCTTTAAAAAAAGTGTGCAAGGTACTAGATATTTGAATTTATTTGACTGTAGTAATATATATCAGAATATCATATGGTACGTCTTAGATACACATAATTAAAAAGAAGCAACAGCCTGGAATTTTCATTCATCACTGTAACCTCCTGTGAGAATTTGACACCAAGGTCAGTAGCCAAAGGTGAATTAAAGGGAACTTCAAAGCCAGTGTTCACTTGAAATGTGTAGTCCAGGTTCTGCCATTTCACAAAAAAGAGTTGGATGTGAGGGCTAAGACTTACTCTTGATAAAATTGGCATGGAATCCTAGATATTTCACTATAAAACCTGTCAAAACACTCCTCTAGAATGTGGATTTTGTTTCAGGTTTTCAGTTTGCTCTTCCTCCTTGTCCATCCTTGGAATCTGGTGTAAATTTCCCTTTGGGTGTAGCAAAACATGTCATTTCAGTACTAGAGTTTCACCTAGTTACTTGGCTGACCATGTGAAAGAAACATTTGAGTAATTTAATGTTGCTCTCTTTCCTTTTTTTTTTTAAATATTTATTTATTTATTTGAAAGGCAGAGTTGCAAAGAGAGAGGGAAAGTATCTTCCATCAAGTAGTTCACTCCCTAGATTGCCACAGTGGCTGGGGCTGGGCCAGGCCATAGCTGAAGTCAGGAGCCAGGAGCTTCATCTGGGTCTCCCACGTGGGTTCAGGGGCCCAAGCACTTGGCCATCTTCTGCTGCTTTCTCAGGCCATAGCAGAGAGCTGGGTTGGAGTGGAGCAGCTGGTACTTGAACCGGTGTTCATATGGGACACCAGCATCCAAGGTAGTAGCTTAAGCCTCTGTGCCCGAACAGCAGCCCCTCTTTTTCTTTTTTATCTTCTCTCCTGAAAAACCACTACTCAGAAGGGCTGCATGCCTCACTGAGGCTGGCTAAGTTAAAGCAATCTTTCTTTCCTGCTGTTCCAGGGAGCGTTTGCCTACATAGTGAATTACTTCATGTACGTCCTGTGGGCTCTCCTATTTGCCTTCCTGGCCGTGTCTCTGGTGAAGGTGTTTGCACCTTATGCCTGTGGCTCTGGAATCCCTGAGGTGAGTCTCTTAAAATTATAATGGTATGAATCATTTTTGGTTAAGTCCTTTTAATATTATCATGGCAAACACCAACATTTGGTGACGATTAAACAGAATCTGATCCTGAGGTCATCTAAGACCCCTCTGGGACTGTCCTCAACTCTCCTGTCAGCTGGGGCTACCTGGAAATTAGAGGTGGTTGATTCTTGAGCCTCCTGAAGGTCCCTCTTGCACTGTGTTCCCTAACACCTCCTGTGCCCCCCACCCAACAAGCTTCCAGCCTAGATCCCATGATTCTGACCTGAAAAAGTAGTGGCCTTGTTAACTTTGTTAGAGCAGAATGAGTAAAACCGTTTTCTTACCTTTCCTACAGTGTGTATGGTTTATGCTAGAAGGGGGTGGTTAAAACCTATTTCTAACATCTTTGGTTTAGATGGCTTGACAGTGACTGAATCCACTGTTTCCGGAGCAAGTAGTAGACACAGATGTCTTTGGCAGGGAATCAAGGCTGTACCTAATGTTTAAGGCGGTTTCAGGAACGTTAACCTTGCCCTCTCAGAACACACCTCGTGGGCCACTATTTTGTAAAGGAGAACATCTTTCCATCCCTCTGCCCCTTCTCTGCCCAGATAGCCAGTGCCACCACACCCCCTTCCCCAAAAAGGAACAGGAAAGCTTGAATAATTCCTGCTTTTTTGAGCTCCTAGGCTCCCTTCCAAACTGAGAGCACTGTAGGTCAAGTGTTTGTGTGCTACTTGTTCAAAAGATGCGGTTTCTGTCATGAGATTCGGATTTTTGCTTCCCTTAGCCTTGTTTACTTCCTCAGTCTGTATTCATCCTTTCTGTATTTCTGCAGATAAAAACGATCTTGAGTGGTTTCATTATTAGGGGCTACTTGGGTAAGTGGACCCTGGTTATCAAAACTATCACCTTGGTGCTGGCAGTGTCATCTGGCTTGAGCCTGGGCAAAGAGGGCCCCCTAGTGCACGTGGCTTGCTGCTGTGGGAATATCCTCTGCCACCGATTCAACAAATACAGGAAGAACGAAGCCAAGCGAAGAGAGGTAAGAAACAAATGAGCTCTGTAGTCTTTCTGGGTGAGAGCATAAATGATATAGTCTTAGGAGTAGGAATTGAAGGATTCTACTGATATTGATGCAAATACCCTTTGACATGGCAACTCCACCTTTATCCTACAGCCATCCTACCATGTGTATGCACAGAAGTGTATGGGGATAGCCCGTGCAGAGTTTCTCAGCACAGTGAAAACAGAAGCAACCAACATGTCCATCAATAGGGGATGGGTCAGCTAAATAAAATTCTGTCCATACTATAGAATACTATACAAGCATTAATAAAGGAGACAGCTCTCTACATGTTTACATGGAATTCTCACTATAAAACATTGTTAAGTTTAAAAAACAGTCTCTGAATTTTATATATATATATGGTAATTCAATTCATGTTTTTAAAAAGCATGCATATATTCACTTAGATAGAAAATGCTTAGAAAGTGGCTTTGCTCCAAACTGGTAAAAACATCTACCTCTGGTGAGTGGGAGAGTGAAGTGGTAGTGAAGGAGACGTAAGGCTTTTCTTTTCATTGTGCATAATTCTGTCCAAGTGTGTGTTGCTTCTACTACAAAAAGGTTTACAAAAATTCTTAAGGAAGCTGTCTATTCCTATGGAAGAATGGATATAAATGTAGCATGCTTCATGTGTTGGCCTTCTCATCTTTTTTTTTTAATATTTTATTTACTTATTTGAGAGGTAGAGTTACAATGAGAGAGAGAGAGCGAGAGAGAGAGAGAGAGACAGAGAGAGAGAGGTCTTCCATCTGCTGGTTCACTCCCCAAATGGCTGCAACGACCAGAGCTACACCGATCTGAAGCCAGGAGTCAGGTGCCTCTTCCCAGTCTCCCATGCGGGTGCAGGGCCCAAGGATTTGGGCCATCCTCCACTGCTTTCCCAGGCCATAGCAGAGAGCTGGATTGGAAGAGGAGCAGCCAGGACTAGAACCGGCACCCATATAGGATGTTGGCACAGCAGATCGAGGATTAACCTGCTGCGCCATGGTGTCGGCTCCGGCCTTCTCATCTTTTATTTCTTCTTAATACCATACTGGATTGAGCTTCTCTCTAACAGACCCGTGTCTGCCTTCTGCCTTAACCTATTAATCTCACCACACATGCCTGTAGCGGCTGTGATGTTTTTGCAGTTGGTAATGTGTGCTATTTTCAGGAGGAAGAACATTTAAAAAAATATTCCAAGTCACTGGTTACTTCTGTCCTGCTATAATGAAGAACCTAAGAAAATGATGCCTCTTATTTTATTTTCCTTCAAGTATAAAGAAATTACATAGGGAATGGGTACAGACCAAGGTCATTTCATTAAGAAAGATTTTTCACAAAACAGGAATCTATTGATTTCTTCTGGAAACAAGAAAGATTAACCACAAGACCCCGAAGGAAACCAAAGATGTTGAGATTTGAAATATGAAATACATTTTGATAGTTCAAGGGGAGAAAGTTCCTGGCACAATTAGAAAGGAGAGGAGAGGTAGCAGGAGAGAGACAGGGAAATCTTAATCAAGTGTTTAGCTTGATTTAGTGTGTAGAGGGTCATAAAGGCATTGTTAGATTGATGAGACTGTTAAACAGGCCTAGTGTACAACAGAAGTTAAAGAGTAGAAAACCCATCTTAATAGGCAAGAATAAACTGTTGGTTGGTTTTGGTTTTGTATGTGTGGAGGCAGGTTTGAAGCTACAGACTGCTGGCTACTTTCAGTCTATGAAATGGGCACTTTTGCTGAAATTGTTCCTTGTAAATGAGAAGGGAGTTTGAGTTGGCTGTTTCTCCAGGAAACAAAATCATTGACTTCTTAAGAAAATAGAGGGGCTGGTACTGTGGTGTAGTAGGTTAAGCACCTGCCATGGCGCCAGCATCCTATATGGGCGCAGATTCGAGTCCTGGCTGCTCCACTTCCTATTCAGCTCCCTGCTGATGGCCTGGGAAAGCAGTAGAAGATGGTCCCCTTCACCTGCATGGGAGATCCTGAAGAAGCTCCTGGCTCCTGGCTCCTGGCTTCAGATCAGCCCAGCTCTGGCCATTGTGGCCATTTGGGGGGTGAACAAGCAGATGGAAGACTTTCTCTCTTTCTCTCCCTGCCTCTGCCTTTCTAACTCTGCCTTTCAATTAAATAAATATATCTTTAAATAAAAATAAAAAGTAAAAACTGTGCCTTTATAAAAAAAAACCTAGATAGCATTCCTTTACAAAGTGCTGTGTCAGTGCATCACTAAATACTTCACATAAGTGGTGAATACATAGATCTACAAACTTGAATTCAGTTACTGAATTGGGAATATGGGGGGGTTGGGGACATAATTTAGGATAAAGCTCATGCCTAAATGAATGACAGTGGAAAGACCCCTCTTTGTTCAAGCCTGTGAATCATGTGTGTGTCAGAATTTAAAATTTCGTATACATTGTTGGCTCTCACATAGACATCAAACATCGTTTTTGATGATAGGAAGCATGTAGATTTTTTAAAAAAATGTTTATGAACCCTTAATATTCCTGATGAAAATGTGATTGAATGTAGGAATGTAGCATTCCTCTTTGACTAATTTTGAGTCTTATATTGTAGGTGTTGTCAGCTGCAGCAGCTGCTGGTGTATCTGTTGCCTTTGGGGCACCTATTGGCGGTGTATTATTCAGCCTAGAAGAGGTAACAGCTTCTGCCTGTGTGTAGAGCACGCACATGCTTTTGTCTCAGGAATTCAGACCCAGTATCCACGTACATGGCCATTCCTGAGTGTTCTGTCGGGCTCCGGGCTCTGTGATTTCCCATGTCTCTGGGCAGATATTCATCCTGTCCTCTACTGCCTGCAGTACCAACTGCTCAGTTTCTGCATGTTGACCAAGGTCGCTTCTCCCTACCCCCCTTTCTGTCTTACAGGTCAGCTACTATTTCCCCCTCAAAACATTGTGGCGTTCGTTCTTTGCTGCATTGGTGGCAGCCTTTACTCTACGATCCATCAATCCATTTGGGAACAGCCGCCTGGTTCTGTTTTACGTGGAGTTTCACACCCCATGGCATCTCTTTGAGCTTGTCCCGTTCATCTTGCTGGGCATATTTGGTGGCCTGTGGGGAGCTCTGTTTATCCGCACAAACATTGCCTGGTGTCGGAAGCGGAAGACCACCCAGCTGGGCAAATATCCTGTCATCGAGGTACTCATCGTGACAGCCATCACTGCCATCCTGGCCTTCCCCAATGAATACACCCGAATGAGCACGAGTGAGCTCATTTCGGAGCTCTTCAATGACTGTGGCCTTCTGGATTCCTCCAAGCTCTGTGATTATGAGAACCGTTTCAACACAAGCAAGGGAGCTGACCTGCCTGACAGACCAGCCGGTGTAGGAGTTTACAATGCCATGTGGCAACTGGCTCTGGCACTCATACTGAAAATCGTCATTACTATATTCACCTTTGGCATGAAGGTGAGCAATTCTTTTGATACTCAGTGGCTGAGTGTGTGTGTGTGTGTGTGTGTGTGTGTGTGTGGCTATGAGTTTTAGAAGGCAAAGCCATCGTATTGTGCAATTCTGATAGCTCATGTGATGTTTTCACCTTTCCCCCAACATTACTCCTCCATCCCCCAAAGCCTCTTTCACCCACACTTGTTCTAATAACTTTCTTGACAATTGTACACCTATCTCAAGTTGTCCAAACCTAGTTTGGGGCCCCATGCAAACCTCAGTGATGAAATTTTAGCAAAAGTGGTTTTTTTTTTTTGCTTTTTCTGTGGGAAACACAGTTTGCCTCTCAAAAAGGATAATGAGGTATTTCTTCCAGTGTGATTTTTATTACAATATCTGACCAACACAATATTAGCAGGGTTGCTTTTTAGTGTTTACCCATAAAATATAATACTCAGCCATTTTGACCACTAAAATTGCAATTTCATGTAGTTCAATCCATTATGGAGCTTAATTGTTTTTTTTTTTAAGATTTTTTTAATTTGAAATGCAGAGTTACAGAGAAGCAAAGGCAAAGAGAGAGCAAGAGCGAGAGAGAGAGAGAGATGTCTTCCATCTGCTGGTTCACTCCCCTAATGGCTACAATGGCCAGAGCTGTGCTGATCTGAAGTCAGGAGCCAGGAACTTCTTCTAGGTCTCCCACGTGGGTGCAGGAGTCCAAGACTTGCACCATCTTCCACTGCTTTCCCAGGAACATTAGCATGGAGCTGGATCGGAAGTGGAGCAGCCAGGACTCAAACTGGCACCCATATGGGAGGCCAGCACTGCAGACAGTGGCTTTACAACAGCTCCAAGCTAAATGTATTTTTTACAGTTAGTATTAATGCTCAGTTGTCAACCAAGGGGATATATTCCATAGGTGATCTGAAGTTAATTGTCAAACTATCAAAAGCCAATAGCAGCATGTTCTCACTCATATATGGAAACAACAAAAGTTGATCTCAAAGAAAGCAGAGAGCAGAACGCCCAGAGGTAAGCTGAACCTGAGAAGGCGAGAAGGAAGAGAGGGATAGAAAAGAGATGGTTGGGGCCAGCACTGTGGTGTAGTGGGTTAAAACCCCAGCCTGCAGTGCTGGCATCCCATATGGGCACCGTTTCATGTCCCGGCTGCTCCACTTCCGATCCAGCTCTCTGCTGTGGCCTGGGAAAGCATTGGAGAATAGCCACACTCCTTAGGCCTCTGCACCCACGTGGGAGACCTGGAGGAAGCCCCTAGCTCCCTGCTTCGGATCAGCTCAGCTCTGGCTGTTGCGGCCATCTGGGGAGTGAACTAGTGGATGGAAGACCTCTCTCTCTGGCTCTACCTCTCTCTGTAACTCTTTCAAATAAATAAAATAAAACTTTTTTTTAAAAAAAGAGATGGTTAAGGGGATACAAAAACAAAATTCAAAAGGAGAGCTAGCTTCTAGTGTCGTATAGTACAGTAGGGTGACTATTTCACAATAACGTATTGTATATTACAAAATAGCTAGAAGAGAGGATTTTGAATGGTCCTGACCCAAAGAAACAATAAATGTCTAGGGTGATGAATATACTAATCACACTTATTTGATCATCATGGTGTGTACAGTATCAAAATATCATCCTGTACCCCATAAACAACTCCATAAATATATACAGTCATTCTGTATCAAGTTTTTAAAAAGCAGACATCAGACTGACATGTTTTACTTTAAGTATTTGTTACTGTTTTCACATTTCAAGACAAACTAGAAAGGAAAATTTGTTAAGGAGTTTTCCTCCTCCTCCCTAAGTTTTTATTGGTTTCTTTTCTTTTTTTTCCTTTTTTTTTTTTTTTTGACAGGCAGAGTGGACAGTGAGAGAGAGAGACAGAGAGAAAGGTCTTCCTTTTCCCCTTGGTTCACCCCCCAATGGCCGCTGCAGCCGGCGGACCGCGCTGATCCGAAGCCAGGAGCCAGGTGCTTCCTCCTGGTCTCCCATGGGGTGCAGGGCCCAAGCACTTGGGCCATCCTCCACTGCCTTCCCGGGCCACAGCAGAGAGCTGGCCTGGAAGAGGGGCAACCGGGACAGAATCCAGCGCCCCGACCGGGACTAGAACCCGGTGTGCCGGTGCCGCAGGCGGAGGATTAGCCTGTTGAGCCGCGGCACCAGCCTATTGGTTTCTTTTCTTTAGCATCCAGCTGCCAAGTTGTTTCCCTGTATGCTTTAGGGAAGTAGAAATTGAAACCAGAAAATAAGATGCAGCAACTGAATTTGGGCAGTCCTGAAATCTCTGAGATAGCACCATTCATCCCCTCAACACAGGGACTGGATGGAGATGCTGGAGGTTCTTGCAGTACTTCTTGACTTCATTTGTACCTCGTAGTTTCATTTTGCCATTGAAAGGGGATTTGGAAACCATTAAAGCACAGTTTCAAATGCATTCCAGAGTTAAACACAGGCTATTTTAAAATAAAAAATACTGTTTTGATTAGTCCTGAATATTACAAATTCACAACGGTATCCTAAGAGACAAAGCAAAGAGTAGGCTGATAGATGAAGGTTCCTTATTCAATTAACCATGCAACCAGCCATTATCTCTTTTAAAATGATATTAGCTTAATCTTTCTTTAGACCATTACAAAATAAACTGAAACCTCATGCACCAGCCATCCTTTGTGTGTGAGCAATGGGTTACGATTCTACATATGAACATGGTTGTGAACATTCCATTTAAATCCTAGCACCAGAATTTACTAAATCTTGACCTTGGATGAGGTTGTTTAACCTCTGTGAACTCTGGGTTCCTTGTCATTTGGGCATAATAATGCCTACCCCCTGGGGTTGTTACAAAGACCCAATGAAACCTTGTATATAGTGCATCCAGCACTAAACATGGTAGGTAGTCAATAAAAGGATAGTTAGTGTTCATTAGAATTCAGAATTGGGGGAAATGTCTGCATATATGAGAAACTCCATCTATTTTCCTTTTTCTTTGGGAAAGGCCTAATTTCTGCCTCCAGTTCTGTGTTGCTCTGGAGAATTCAGGCTCTTGCCTGATGGACCCCCGAATCAGGGTAAGCTCTTTTGCAGTCATCCTTGCCTGCACGTCCCAGAGAACCTCTGGTCCCTGTAGTGTTACATACATCTTTACAGCCACTTGCTAGCATAGTGCATAGTTACGTTGTCATTGGCCTGTTTGCTTCGCAGGGGGTCAGTCCGCCAGCCCTTACCATGCCCCGAGCAATGGCATCATTTCTCACTGACCATCTATTGCTTTCTCTTTACAGATCCCCTCTGGCCTCTTTATCCCTAGCATGGCTGTTGGTGCTATAGCAGGGCGACTTTTAGGAGTGGGAATGGAACAGCTGGCTTATTACCACCATGACTGGACCATCTTCAACAGCTGGTGTAGTCAGGGAGCTGATTGTATCACCCCTGGCCTCTATGCCATGGTTGGGGCTGCAGCCTGCTTAGGTGAGGAGTGTTTGCATTGATTTCAAAGAAGTGGCTTCCTAGGTGACATAAAAAAGAAGAGACGTAATAAACACAATTGACTGCAAAAAATGTTTAAATGACTATCCATTTCTGGTTGAGTTTCCTATTTTTCAAATGTTTTAAGAAAGCAAATTCTCTCACACTGGCTAAATAATCAAGAAATGTGGACACAGATAACCATACAATATTTACATCATAGTATTATTTATTTTTAAAAGGTTTATTTATTTTTTTATTTATTTGAGAGTCAGAGTTATGCAGAGAGAAAGAGACAGAGACAGAGACAGAGAGAGGTCTTCCATCTGCTGGTTCACTCCCCAATTGGCCACAATGGCCAGAGCTGTGTGAATCCAAAGCCAGGAACCAAGAGCTTCTTCGGGGTCTCCCATGTGGGTGTAGGGGCCCAAGCACTTGGGTCATCTTTTACTGCTTTCCCAGGCCATAGCAGAGAGCTGGATCAGAAGTGGTGCAGCCGGACTCAAACTGGCATCCATATGGGATGCTAGCACTGTATGCAGTGGATTTACCCGCTACGCCACAACACAGGCCCCCACAGTGTTATTTATAAGAGAAGAAAAATAGAATCCATCTAAATTTGCAAGATAAGGGACTAGTTAAATAATTTATGATACATCCATATGATGTTATACTATGCAGCCTTTAGATATGATTTTTTTAAGATTTATTTATTTGTTTGAAAGCCAGAGAGTTACAGAGAGTCGGAGACAGAGGCAAAGTGAGAGAAAGAGAAGTCTTCCATCTGCTGGCTCACTCTCCAAATGGCCACAACAGCCAGGGCTGGACCAGGCCAAAGCCAGGAGCCAGGAGCCTCTTCTGGGCCTCCCATGCAGGTTCAGGGGCCCAAGCACTTAGTCCATCCTCTGCTGCTTTCTCAGGCCATAGCAGAGAGCTGGATCAGAAGTGGAGCAGCTGGGACTCAGACTGGCGCCCATATGGGATGCTGGCACCTCAGGCAGCGGCTTTACCCACTAAGCCACAGTGCCAGCCCCTAGATATGATATTAATATGGTTAACATCTTTTAAATGTGATGTTGAATAAATCTTAGTAACATGTAAAGTCTTCCTAATACATAATGGGTAAACATGGTGGTGAATTAGACATAATAATATAAGCTTGCCTATGTTAAATATTCTTGCATAGAAAAAACATGAATATGTCATTTAAAATTTTGATTCTGCTTTTATTTATTGACAGTGAGCTTATGAATAATGACTTTCTTTTGTATTTTCTCAATTTTCCACAATGGGCATGTATTACTTTTACAATTAGGGAAAAGAAGCAATAGGCAAATTAAAAAAATAATTAGGGAAAAGAAGCAATAGGCAAATTAAAAAAAATAATCTGGATCAGCATTGTTGTGTAGCAGGTTAAGCCTCTGCCTTTAACACTGGCATCCCATCTGGGAGCTGGTTCAAGACCAGGCTGCTCCACTTCTGATCCATCTTCTTGCTAATAATGCACCTGGGAAAGCAGCGGAGGATGACCCAAGTGCTTGGGCCCCTGCACCCACGTGGAAGACCGGGAAGAAGCTCCTGGCTCCTGGCTTCGGATCGGCGCAGCTCCAGCTGTTGCGGCCACTGGGGAGTGAACCAATGGAAGGAAGACCTTTCTCTCTGTCTCTTCCTCTCACTGTCTGTAACTCTACCTCTCAAATAAATAAATAAATAAATCTTTTTTAAAAATCATGAAGGCATCTTAGACTCCTATAGATGTCATTTGGAGAAATCTGAGTCATGTCTCTCATAAGTGTAGGGCACTCCCTGGGGTGTGTGCAGTTATAGGTGAGATCCCATTCTGGCATTGTTTCTGGTAAATAATTCTTCCCTGGGTGGAGGCCTCTGACAGGCCCCTTATTTTAATAACCCCTGTGCCTTGCCTGCCGTTGGTAGCCTGTGTCTATTTTGTTACAGGTGGTGTGACTCGGATGACTGTTTCTCTTGTTGTCATAATGTTTGAACTTACTGGTGGCTTGGAATACATTGTGCCTCTTATGGCTGCAGCCATGACAAGCAAGTGGGTGGCAGATGCTCTTGGTCGAGAGGGCATCTATGATGCCCACATCCGTCTCAATGGATACCCCTTTCTTGAAGCCAAAGAAGAGTTTGCTCATAAGACCCTGGCAATGGATGTGATGAAGCCACGGAGGAATGATCCTTTGTTGACTGTCCTTACTCAGGACAGTATGACCGTGGAAGATGTAGAGACCATAATCAGTGAAACCACTTACAGTGGCTTCCCAGTGGTGGTGTCCCGGGAATCCCAAAGACTTGTGGGTTTTGTGCTCCGAAGAGATCTCATTATTTCAATTGGTAAGGATTTCAGAAAGGGGTCAATGGAATCCAGTATAGCACTCAGTAAATGGGTGTGAAATGGGGGAAGGCAGGGGGAAGAGGGGATTGGTGAGGAGCCAGAGGACAGAACTAGCACTTCCATTTTTAACTCCACCCTCCCCCTTCTGTTCAAATAGAAAATGCTCGAAAGAAACAGGATGGGGTTGTGAGCACGTCCATCATTTATTTCACTGAGCATTCTCCTCCAATGCCACCATACACTCCACCCACCCTGAAGCTTCGGAACATCCTGGACCTCAGCCCCTTCACGGTGACTGACCTCACACCCATGGAGATTGTAGTGGACATCTTCCGCAAGCTGGGACTGCGGCAGTGCCTCGTCACACACAACGGGTGAGAACTCTTGGGGAAGGTAAATTGGGTTGTGCAAGGAAAGCGAATGTAGAGGGAGAAAGAAGGACAACCCAGTGTCAGTGAACATCAGTAACACTTTTAGACCTTTCTGAAGCTCAGAGACGAAGCTGAGTATGTTTCCTTTATCATCATAAGGAATGGAAGAGGAGCTAGGGAAGAAAGAGTGTTTGAGGGGCATGAACTGCCAGGTGTACGTTGCAAGTAACATGATTCTTCCTTTACGAAGGAAACAACTGTGTTCTTGTGCACAGAGAGTGCAGGAATCAGGTAGCATGTGTGTACTATGAGGCTGTGTCAAAAAGCTCATGGAGAAAAGAAATTAGAAGTGTTTATTTTGATATAGAACCGATCTGAAATCCATGCATAGTTTTTCCATAATATGTATTTTCCATGTATTGTAAAAAAAATTTTATATCCAAAATCTTTTTTACACCAAAATAAATTTATATGTTCATCCCCATTTTTCCACACACTTTTTGGAGTACCCTAGTAGTTGGCCCTTGTCACTTGAGGGTGAGAAAGCCAAGTGTTGGTGAGGGCTAGTGATTTGTACAAGGGTCCCCACCTAATACATCATAGAGGTAAGCTTTCAACATACATCTTCTGAGTGCCCAGCCCAAGGCTCTTTCCTTCCTGGCGTATTATCCAGTCAAGGAAGCCCTGTAGATTTTATTGAGAAGGAGAAGATGGTGAGAAGTAGGGTGAATTTTTTCCCCAAACGTGGTATGTTAATCCAGCAATTATGTGAGAATTTTACTCTTCTAAAATTCCAACGCGATATAACACATATCTTCCAGGATTTAAATCAATAAGGGGACTTATCCTAGCTGGTTCATTCAATATTTAGTGAATCCCTGTTTCACATAAGAATATATTCCACTCAATTCCAGGGAGACACAAAAATGCCTAAGAGCCTTCTGTGCCCTCACGGAGCATGCAGTGCTAGAGGGAAGGCAAGAACGTGCGCATGGGTGTGGTGTAATAGCGAAGAGGGCAAGAGCTAAAGCGGAGGTCCACTTGAAACATGCTGTTGCTGGGAGGAGGGCAGTTACTGCCGGCTCATAGGGTCAAGGTCAGGGCTTCTGGAAGAGGGCCATTGGGAGCAGTAGGTAAGGTAAATAAGGTTAATACTTGTAGAGAAGAATAATTAAACCCAAGGAAATGATTGGATCTGACACCTAGAGGATGTTTGCTTACAGTTAGGGAGCAACACATTGTCCCATTTGCCTGGAGCACACATCTTACTCCTGTTAATCTCATCGTTCTGAAACCATATAAAGTGTACAATGACAAAGTTTTAAAGAAAGAATTGAGGAGGACAAACATCACCTTTGGGGATGCTGTTTTAACCAGAGATTTATTTTTGTCTTTTTGTAATTGTGTTTCTCTTTCAGGCGATTGCTTGGAATCATTACCAAAAAGGATGTGTTAAAGCATATAGCACAGATGGCAAACCAAGATCCTGATTCTATTCTCTTCAACTAGAATCATAGGGTTCTTCTGGATCCAAAACAGGAAGGACATTGCAGACCATGGATATATTTTATTAACTGGGTGCCCAAAACACATTTCTCATATTTGGATGGTGAGGTCATATTAGTGCATTGTCTCTTGCCTACAAGTTAACCAGTTGCACTACATAATCTCTGGAAATTAATCTTCTCTTTAGGAGAGAATACAGTTAGGCTTACTTGATAATGAATTTGGAAGATTTCGTGAAAGAGTAAACAAGATCACTATGGTTTAGTTCTATTTGTTTTTAAGATTTGTTTTTAATTTGGGAAATAATCGTTAGCCAATATGCAATCACTGAAAACTATGCAAGAAAAATTCCCAAACCGTCTAGACCTATAGCCTGCAGGAATCTTATGAAAAAGTCACTTTGGGAGGATCTAATTGCCATTGGTGGAACATGAAGTGTAAACTTAAGGGGCTTTGCTTTTCCAACCATGGAAAAGAAAGCCAGAAGGAAAATAGCAATGGTATTTTCTAGACTGTGAAGATTCAGTTCAAATGTTATCCTTGTTCCTGTTACAATACTTAGCATTATTAGTTTGTTATATGTATGTGTATGTTAATTTTAATTTCTGATTCTAAGACAATGCTGCTTTGGTTAATCTCCTCTAAGCAAATTTAGAGAGGTTGACTTTTATAGCTTGCTTGTTCCTGGTACTCTTTTGAAGTGCACAAAGATAAGTTACAGAGCTTTCTCCTTGTCTGCGAAAAGGGTAGTTTTCCAGATGGTATTTGTTAGCTAGTAGGCAAGGACTTTGCCATGAATTTGTTAGTAGCAAGGAAATGATTTCTTCCAGCTTCCTTGAAACGAATGATTAGTCAGGTTCTCAGCAGAGTCCATGACTGGGAATTTCACATTTCTGTGAGGTCCTAACCAATCCTCTTACCCAGAGCCTCCTCCGTGAATGATGGTGCTTTAGGCTTCTGGACTATGGAAGACCAGTAAAGGGAACCACGTTGAGATTGCATACTGGTAACCAGGGAAGATTCAGAGCTGCATCTGCATCCTCACGCATTCCTTTGTACAAAGACCACCAGGGCTAAAATAAGTGGGCACTCATGGCTCCTCCCAGTGTCATCCCTGTGAGTATGAATTAGGCTTGAGATATTTTCAGCTGTATTCAAGGGGTTGGGACAGGATAGGCAGCTGTGACTCCCTGGAGGGTCCTTCGAATTCTAAATAAAATTCAGGATCATCTTCAGACCTAGGACTGTGGACAAGGCCTGGTGACACCAAAGGTGCTTGTATCCAGTTGAAAAGGTGCCAGTCTCAATTTCTTCCCACATTTATTGTAGGAAAACACAAAGCCATCATGCCACAGGGACACCTGGTGGTCTTAAAGAGCCACCCCCCTCCCTGCCACCATTCCAACCACTATTGAATTTTCTGTAGTTTTTACCCATGTCCTCCAAGGACACCCCTTCCATTCTGTTCCCCTTCCTACTCCTCAGTACTGAATCTCTCTTTGGGATTGAGCATTGTGACTGGTTAATCATTCCTAATATATATGTGTGTGTGTGTGTGTGTGTGTGTGTGTGTGTGTGTATAAATAAAATAACTCCCAAGGCTAGTTACATTGTAAACCAAGGCTCAGCAATCTCATGGCACATGGCCCAGAGGTGACATACAGCCTTTTCTTTGCCATGTGACCCAGTTGCTGCTGCCAGGCCTCCGTTTCCCTACCAGATGCCCATGACAGTGAGACACCACTGCCAGGGGTGAGAGTTCAGCCTTGCTCAGAGTACAACTCTGCTGCCAGCACTTGCCGCCACCCTCCCAGCCTGGCATCAGCAGTCTGTTGGCGTGACCCTCCCCCGCAAACACCTCAGCATACCTCATTCCAGAAGTTGCTCATCCCTGATGGGAGTACTTTTCACCCTTAGCTCTTATCTTTCTAAAAGTCTTGTATTGCCCAGCAGAACTGGGTAGCGAAGGTTTATTTTAATGTTTATCTGCAAAATATTATCAGTCACCAGAGTTTCTCCTCCTCCGTATATCACAGTAGCATTTTTAATGAAAAAGAGAAAAACTCCCCAGGGTACGTGATATCCTAGTCATGGCTCCGTCACTTCACGTCTTTTGTCTCTTCCATGCCACTGACTCCTTCATATGAGATGAGACGCTATGCTTGGCTACCCTGTGTATTGTGTCGAAATCAAAGTTCTTATCTGTATATTTCTGGTTCAATGCCTATCTTATTAGCCATCCTTTCCCACTGAAGTTTGCCAAGTAGGAAATGTTACTGTTTCTGGTATTTGATGGCAGTGGAAGGTTGGGTTGTATTTCATAGTGCAGCAGTCCCAATGGAGGGTGTCTTGTTTGCTTTCGTGTTTCTTCTAGCTCTGTTCTTGATTTTAGACAGCTGAGCCAGTGTTAAGGTGCTACTTCAGAGAATAAAATCAAGAAATCACATAACACTGTGCCAAGGTCAACTTTCCAGATGCTAAGCACCGGTTGGCCCTCCAGAGAAAGACAAATAGCCCTTTGATACCTCACTCCTGATAAATCTCGTTCATTCACCTCAGTTTCTCAGGAAGCCTTGTAGCTCATGCGCTAGAAGTAGCTGTAGTGTGTGGTGTCCGCTGTACGTCCAATCCTATGATTTGGCTCAAAGGTTGGCTGGCTGTGGCTCGAGCTCTCTGCTAGACTGCAAGCTCAGCACCTGGACTTCTGCTGAGTTAAAGGAAAATGTTCTTTCTGCCATTGCCAGTTGAACAGTTGGACCTACTTAACCTACAAAGCCAATATAGGGAGGTCTGTCGGTAGCCTCAAAAGGCCACATAGCTCAGTGGCAGGAGACTAGATAACTTGTGATTTGAAACTGAATGAGTTGAGACTAGTCTATTTGGTATTAAAAAAAAAAGAAAGAAAATGACCAGCATATGGAAGGGTTTACAAACAAAAGAGTGTCAATAAATGCTTCAAACAGAGTTAGGATTTCCCAAGGGAAGATAAGCTGGTAGGAGTGAGAGTCTATAGATCTGTAAAAGTCTAACTATTTTTTGGTGGCTTTACACCTTCAATTGAATGTAAAGAAGCTAAACCGGGAATGCATACTTTGTTACACTAGAGGGAAGAAGCAGGTGGCTGACAACAGAAAACAATGGCTACTTTAAATGACTTCATTTCTTTTGAGTAAGAAACCTGTAATGAAGCTTTTCTTTCTGGCCGTAGCATTCCTGGCTCAGCCGAGCTGTGGGTAGAGGTGATGTGAGCCACAAAACAGATATTCTCTGGTGCATAATCTGACCTTGACGAGGCTTTGAATTTGCCAGCTGGCAGAGCAAGCGATTCATTTGCTGATTAAACTGCAAAGCAATTCAATTGTCTTGGCACCAAAAGCTGAATTGAAACCCTTTACCGGAAGAGCAGAGCACAGTATATGTTCCTCTAGCAGGTCTTTAATTCTGTTTGAACAGGAGAGTGATCAAGTAACAAGGACTCAGTGTGGTCTAAGGCTACAAAGCATTTCACAATCGTGTGCATGTGTGCAAGTGTGCGGTGAGCAAATCTGTATTTAAACATGCAGTGTACAGTAGAGTCCACTCTGGAAAGTAACCATGGCTGTATATCGGAAGCAGTGCTGTCACCTACTAGAGTTGGGTTTTGATTTTAGTTGACTGTGTTAGGTGATAAGTGGGAAGATATACTTGTTCCCCTACACTATCTGTTGATTTTGTTCTGAAGTAAGTCAAGAGCAGTGCAATTCTTGAAGCGAAGTGTTTAATGATGATAGTGAAGGTAAGATTGAGATTTTGAAATAGCCAGTGTGCTTTATATTGCCAGAGTGCTTACTGAGGAATGACTACGTTGTCCTGTGAGAAGCTTGTTCACCTACAGTGGGTCAGAGTGAGATGCAGGCCATCTACCTGTTCCAAGAATGCAGGAGAACATATTTTCCCATGGTGCATAGGGTATTGAACATCTGAAAGCACTGAGAAAAATTAGGAATTTAGAAAGTAAATGGAAGAGAATATTGAAACTTTTTTTAAAGGAGAGATGTCTAAATATGTGGTCTGAGCCTCAGTATTCTGAAACTTTATTTTTTAAAAAAACATCTCTACAATTGCCTTGATTCCCTTTGAGAAGGGACTAGAAAACCCCGTTAAGAGAATTCCTGAATGGTGTGAGATGGTGAGAGGAAAACCAGTTCATGCCCCACCCCTTGCATCTTGGCATTCAGAAATTGCTTGATCATGTGCCTCAAGGGGAAAAAAGTCAAATCCCCCCATCCCCCGCCTCAAAGGCCAGGCTTCATAAGCAAACTAGAAGCCCCAAGCAGTGTTCTACTCAAGAGCAATCTAGTTTTATGGAGAGGGATAAACCAAAACATCTGTTCATGAAGGAATATGGTTTCTGTTGTCATTGCCTAAATAAATGATTAGTGTTAGGAAGATTTTCTGGAAATCTATTTTTAGCCTCCCTAGTATGTCCTTATTAGATATTGAATAGAAAAAGTCAGAGTTCCTCAGATCCGAGCTCAGGGGCTGTGTAAAGTTGAACTTCAGTCAGTGCAATTGGACCTGTGGTGATCGCTGAACTTGGCTCTGCTTCAATTTTAGTTGTTTGCTCCAAAGAGAGAAATTCTGGAAACAGTGAGGGTTAGCAACTTTGAGTTACTCCCCGACATTTGCTGGCCACATTCTCATTTCTAAACCTCTGGATCTGGGCAGAGTTTTAAAGGGATGTCAGTGACATAAGTGGTTTTTCTATAACGTGGTCTGATTTTGCCAAATCACTCAAGAAAGAATGTGCTGTGTAGAGTTTGCGTTTGTTGGATGGGACCTCCCTGGTCAGCCAGCCTGATCCTGCGGTCATAGATTCCTACCTCTAAGTTCCTGCCAAAGGGGTCTTCAGCCTCTGTGTGCACACCCACTGAATGAATGAATGAATGCCTTGCCTCAGTTTCGCCTTCTGAGGGGAAACAGCATGTGATGCTATGAAAACAAGGATTTTTAAAAAAATCATCTCTGTCCTCGTCTCTCCCTCCCCTTCTACCTCACTTCCTTTTGCTCCCCTCCCAGCGTCCTGGATTCAAGTTCCTCTCAGCTTTTAGAAGCGTTTTGTTTTGAAGGTGGACCTTGGGGGAAGGGGAGGATCATTCTAAGAAGAGAGAAAGGAAGCTCCTTCTCAGCGGATGGGAACAACGGGGCGTTGCCCCGCTGTCTGAACTAAAGCCAGCAACACGTGTCCAGGAGTGCCGAGGGCTCTAGCGACCCCAAGGCAGGCATGCGAAGTTAGTGACTGCTAGTCCAGATCGGTTTGGGATTCAGGGGCAGGCTGTGATCTGGTGAGGGAAATGCAGTCTGGCAGCGTGGGGGAGAGCGATGATTTGATAGGGTGGGAATGCTCAGCCTCACCCTTATGCTGGGGGTCCCCCAGAATATGTAATCCTTCCAGAGTGTTCCTTCCGCCTGTCCATTTCACTTTGTCCCCTCTCCTCACTCATTATCCTGCCTTTTTAAGTACTCAGCTTTTTATATAAGTATTTACTTTTGTATTATATATTTGGTCCTTTGGGACTTTGTAATGCTTAAGAACTTATTCCACTCAAGATAAAAATGATGTGTTGAATATTTTGTTCTCTTCAACTGTCTTTTGAAGCTATGCTGCTAACCAGGTACAGGCCAGAAAGGAGATGGGCCCGAACAGCACCTTGGTCACGTCATCTAAGGGTGACAATGATGTTGTGATGGTGACTCTTTCTTCGTTTGACCAAGGCCAGCCTCCTGCTCTTACCTCTGCCCATTCATTTCTGGCTACGGGACAGATACCAGCTACTGGGTGAGCCATTGAGACCAGGAGAATTAGAGGGGCCAGGCTCCAGCCCATGTGCCACTATTTGGATATCTCTGTAATAAGCTCCTTTGTAGGGCTGGCTCCAACTGCAGTAGCCAAAGAAAACATGTCTGACCTTGACCTATGAATTCCTGGGAGTTGGTCGAAATTTAGCTGAAGCTCAGTGTATAGACATCAGCAGTAGCTAGGCATCCAGACGCTAGCTTCAACCAAAACTAGCAGCGCCTGAGTTGCCACCGGAAGCTGGGTGCTGAGCTCTTCACAGCGGTTATTTATCTGAGTGTTGCCAACCCTTTAGCTATACTTTCTTAGCTTTATTCTCCCCAGTTCACAGGCACAGCCTGAACCAAAGCCGTGGCTCACTGCTCACTTCATTCTGCTCCCTGGTCATGCATAGCAGCACAGTCTAAAAAGGAAGACATGGACTGGGGAGTTGGGAGACCTGGTTTCTATTCCCTACGCTTCTACTAACTAGCCTCGAGATCTTAACCGCTCTGTGCCTCAGTGTTCCCATCTGCAAAATGGGGATAGTGTTAATTGCCCTACCTACCTCACAGGGTTGTTGTGAGGATCAACTGAGACAATGACTGGAAAGTACTTTGAGAAGTGCTATGCAAATTGTTTGAAATGGAAACAATCATGCTCAAGGCAATGGAATGGATATTGGCAGAAAGGTTAATGGGATCGTCCAGCCCTTTCTCTGTGTGGCTCAAACCCAGGTCGCCATTGCTTTATACATTTTCACTTAGCACAGATTTGTAATTATGCATGTATTAAAGCACAGCCTTATCCAGCCTGGTGTCCTGTGTGTTTCTGAGGGCCCCGAACCCTGTACCGCATTCCTTTCTGATCGAACATGGAGGCAGGGAGAGGGCGACGGCAAAGGTTAACTGCAGCCCCTACTGGCAGATTCACTTCTTAAAAAGACAAAGGCCTTAGTTATTGTTCCATTTCCAGATTCGGTAATACTGTTGCCATAAGGAGACGCACGAGAGACAGCCTGCATTTTCTGAGACATTCCACATTCCCGGATGCCTCATTCATCATGGCTGCTTAAGTGTTCCTGTCTCATCCATTGTTGGTGAACTTTACTGATGACATGAGAAATAGCTGGGGGCTGTATTTTTGCTCTCCTTTGGAGCTTTTAATGATGTAAGGTCATGGCTTTTGCCTGCAGTCACTTCATGCAAGGAGTAGGGTGGGTGATTAAAATGTTCCTTCTGTGAATTCTGGGGTTCATAGTACCCTCATTATGGGGCACTGGGACCACAGTGTCTTCTGGGAGAAACCCTCTGAAGTGATTGTGGAGAGTGAAGTGGGGCGGGGCCTGGGGAAATGGCTGAATATATAAACATTTCCTTTTCACACCTCGCTGGAGTGCAGAAAACTATACTTTGAAGTAGGCTTTTCTATTTTTTTTTTACCCAATTTCCCTGTATCTGACTGTTCCTCCACCCTCCTTCCTCCTTAGACAATGGGCTGTAGGTCCAAGTTTTCATTTAAGAATACCTTCTTACTAGGGGAATTTGACCTACTTCATATCATTTAAGGAAGCACACCTCTGTATAAAAGTAATCCCCTCATAAGCCTGAAGTCCCACAAAAAAATTTCATTTCTTAGTATTTATCATTTTATCGGGCCTCTTCCACACTGCTGCCATTCCTACCTGTAATCTAAGTATCTCTTAAGAAAAAAAAAAAACCTCTGTTACCAGCTATCCATAACTCTGAATCACAGTGTCTGCCATGTCTAGTTGCTGTAGAGCTCAGATAAACGTTTGCTGGCCTGTGACGTAAGTACCGATCCATCATCTCGTACAGAAGCTGCCCAGAGAAAAACCTGTCAATGACCACCAGATGTCAGTGCAATCATTAAAATACTGGCGTGGCTAAGGTTTGGCTAGAGGGGAATGTGTCTGAGGGGTAGACAGGGCAAGAAGCATTAATTCACACCTATAATGGCTAGGTGCTAGGAGTACACCATTCAATAACCTGGTATTGCTGAGTTAGCAGACATTCCCTTTTTAATGTATATAACCAAATGTGGGCTTTTCTTGTTAAAAATCCTGCAGGCTCAAGATGGTCCCTGCCCTAACTCGGTGTCTGCAATGAAGCAGGTGAAAACAATGGGGAAAGAAGGGCTCCAGTCTCTCCCTCGGTAATTAATCATTATCCAGGAAAATGCGTGTAACTGGTCCTATGGCAGGCAAACCAAGAAACATGGTGTCTGTGCTCAGGGCTCTCCGGCTCCTACACTGCAGAACCCAGTTCCAGGTCTCCAGAGCTCCTTCCCAGTGGCCTTGCCCTTGTCTTGAACTCCAAGACCTCTCCCCCAGACTTAGTTTCCTCCTACTAAACACTCAGCTGCTCCTAGGATGTGGGATAAGAGCAATGCGCAAACAACCACAAGTAAGCGCTTCCTTTCCAAAACAACAGTAGGCTTCTGAGCAGAGAGCGACATTCAGGGTAAGAGAAAGCCGCTTTGGGGTTCCTTTAGGCCTCAAGCTGCTGGCTTGAGGAGGCCTCCCTACCTACATATTACCCACTGCCGGGGTTTCTAGATAGACCGTTTTAGGATCTTGATTCAGGAGGCTACAGATAGAATAGAAGATAGATGAAGTGGAACATCATAGGATTTGGAGCCGCAGGTACTTTGATGTGGGACATGGGCATCTCAACCACTAGGCTAAATGCATGCCTCAAGAATAATATTTTTATATGTGGTTATAAGGATGTGTTCATCCCATCACTTGCAAGCTAAATTTGTTTTTTTTTTCCCATGAACTAGTGATAAACAATGAAAAGTAAAGCCTCAGATCCAGTAAGTGGTTGTTTCTTATAATGAGAATTCCCATCCCTAGCAGAGGAGCCCTATGACTCATGCAAGCGTAGGGGGCTGTTTTGTCTCATAATATAACAGAGCAACCAGCATGATCCTTTGCAAACATAAGTCAAATCATCTCACTTGTCTGATTTGAAAGCTTTTAGTGACTTTTCATTACATGCAAAGCAAATCCAAGTCCCTTCCCCGGGTCTCAGAGCCTTCTGTGACCTTCATCTGGTATGTCTCACTAACCTCATGGTGTGTGTTAAATTGTGTCCTCCAAACATTGCTGTTGAAATCCTAACCCCCAGAAATTCAAAATGGGACGTTACCTGGAGATAGGGTTGTGGCAGATACAACTGAGATAGAATGCGATCACTGGACTAGGGTGGACTGCTAATCCAACATGACTGGTATCCTTCTAAGAAGGAGAAATGTGGGCCCAGATGTGCACACAGGGAGCCTGCCATGTGATGCCAAAGGCGAACATTGGGGTGGAGCTTCCACAAGCCCATGAATGCCAAAGGTGGCCAGCACATCAGCAGAAGCTAGGGGAGTGACCTCCCTTACAGGCCTTGGAAGGAACCAACACTACTGAGGCTTTGATCTTGGACTTGCAGCCTCCAGAACTGTGAGACAACACAGTTCTGTCGTTTCAGCCCTTCTTTTGCTCCTAGCACATCATCTTTTTTTGTTTTGTTTTCCAATTCTTCTCTCACACACACCAAGGTTATTCCTGCCTCAGGGACTTTGCACTAGCTCTTTCGTTTTTCTCAAATGTACTTCCATCAGATCTTCACATGACTAACCCCTTCTTGTCACTCAGACACCTGCCTGGACCTCCCAGTCATTCTGAATGGCATCGTGTGCTTTTTGCTTCAGAGAAGTCATCGCTAGCTGATGTTTTCTTGTTGGTTTATTATAAACATTTCTCCCCAGTTAGCATGTAAGTTCCACAAGTTTCTTTTTTTTAAGATTTATTTGTTTATTTATTTTAAAGAGTTACATACACAGAGAGAGACAGAGAGAGAGGTCTTCCATCTGCTATGGTTCACTCTCCAACTGGCCACAACGGCCGGAGCTGCGCTGATCCGAAGCCAGGAGCCAGGAACGTCTTCCAGGTCTCCCATGTGGCTGCAGGAGCGCAAGGACTTGGGCCATCTTCTACTGCCTTCCCAGGCCATAGCAGAGAGCTGGATCAGAAGTGGAGCAGCTGAGACTCGAATCGGTGCCCATATGGGATGGTGGCACTGCAGGTGGCGGCTTTACCAGCTATGCCACAGCGCCGGCCTCAAGTTTCCTTTTTGTGAGTGCAACACCAGCTTCTATCTAGAGTTACCTGGCACATTTATAAATATTTATTGAATGAATGAATGGAAAACTTCTTCACTGATAGACTCATTCATGAAAGATTTATTAAGTTTCTACTATTTGACATCCACTGTGAGAGAACTTGAAAGTCAAATAAGACAGGGCCCCTTGCACTTAGGGCTTATTAAAAGGCTGTGGCTACTGCCAGACCCCAGTACTGGCACAGTAACAACAACATGGGCCTTGGAGTCAGCCTGGTCTAAATTCATATCCTAGCTCTGCTGCTTACCAGCTGTGTGATTCTGAGCAAGGCACCTAAACTTTCTGTATCTGTTATCTCTTCTGTTGAATGGAGATAATAATAACACCTCATCCAGAGAGTTGTGCTAAGAAATAATGAGCTAGGTAATCCATGTTAAAGGCTTAGTGGTGCCTGGTACTGAATAGGTGTTCTCAAAAATGGCATTTCCATTTTTACTGCGCTTTAGTGAAATAGCAGGTACTCCTCTGCTCCCAGCTATAAGTATTTGCTTCTCTTTGAGGGGAAATTAGCAGTTCTCTGAGATAGCAACACAAATCATTGAAGGGGGCCCTGGGATGGGCCAAGCAGTGCTTCTGTAAAATAACTCTGAGGGGCCACTCATGTGCAGGAGTCACGTTTTGGAAGGCAGAGAGAAGAAGAAGGAGGAGGAGGAGGAGGAGGAAGGAGGAGGAGGAAGAAGGAGGAGGAGGAAGGAGAAGGAGGAAGGAAGAGGAGGAGGAAGAAGGAGGAGGAGCAGGAGGAGGAGGAGGAAGGAGGAGCAGGAGGAGGAAGAAGGAGGAGGAAGGAGGAGGAGGAGGAGGAAGAAGGAGGAGGAGGAGGAAGAAGGAGGAGGAAGGAGGAGGAGCAGGAAGAGGAAGAAGGAGGAGGAGGAAGGAGGAGGAGGAA